TCCTTCTCTATCGGACAATGTTTGATCATTATGGGCCAAGAGGTTAAGTGTAAAAGACCATTACAGGGCTAATTACTTGATGAGTTTTATCTTACTTAAGTTCATTATCCTTGGATCTTCATAGGATGGTTGAATTCAATGATCATTTTTAAGTGTAAATGTTGGGACCAGACCCCATAATGATGTGCTTAAGGGTTCACTGCGTTTAGTAGTGAATTCTGCCAAGCCTTTTCACAGAGGCTAGGTCGATTCCATGTGGACTTATGTGAGGTCATTGTGGGGTCCCATGCCATATAAATCAAGCCTAAATTGGCTATGCAACACCCTTGGGTTGTGAGCCTTATAGCTGATGGGCCTAAGGCCCATAATTAATTTGATCAATTAAGTTGTCACATAACAACTTAAGTTGTCCTGTGACATGGGGCGAATCTAGGTTTGGATCTGGGTATAGAGCACCTAATCTTATAAGAAGATAAGGCATATCTCTCATTAGATTCCAAATCTAATTTAGATCTGGATTATCTCTTATTAGATTTCATATCTAATTTAGATTTAGATTATCTCTTATTAAATTCTAGATCTAATTTAGATCCTGATTATCTCCTAATTAGATTAGAAGATAGCTCCATAAGAGATTATAAAAGATGAAGGAGCGGATTAGTCTAGGATAGTTTCATATTTTTGCAATTTCTGGTTCTTTCCGCATCCTTTTGTCTCCCAGTTTGACATTAGATATATGGGACTAATATGAATCAGTTCTTCCTCTGATTTTTCAAGAAAAATTCAGGCGATATCATGCTCACCTTCCCCAGTTCGGTCCAAGCAGTTGTATTGTAGTTTTGCTAAAACTTGTGTTGCTGAATCAACCTCACCTACACATTGTGCCATTTTTAGTAGAGGCAAGTTTTAAGACTGATTTGGAAATGAACTTTCACCTTGGGATCTGTGTTTGTGGTATCTATATCAAGTACACATATCCCTCTTTGTTTGGTTTGAAACCCGGTTCGGTTCAGTGTAAGACCGATCTAGAAAAATGCAGTTTTTCAAAACATAGGTAATTCGATTACCAGAAGGATTAGGAAATTTTTGAAATTTCGCCCAGCCATCTAGCATGGTTCGGCCATACATATGATGAATTCTAATCCTTCCAACACTCACACTTTTGAATGACTTCTTTTTGTTCTAGTTGAGGTAGATTGTTATGCTTTTGATGTTTTTAGCAAAACTGAGATAAAATATGAAGCATATAATTTAGGTACGTATATATGATTTTTATTACATATTAAATTGATCATCATATGGAAAAGAGAAAGAGTACAACATCCATGTCAAATTGATATAGTATAAATATTTCAAATTCATTATGGAAAACAATTTCACAAGTCTACACCGACATGCTAGTGTATGAGAAATAAAATGGATAAACCTTCAATTATGCTATGGCACATCAACAGATATGGTAATGTGCATTCTAGTCAAGGTAACTAAAAGATTCGATGATTTTTCTTTGAGATCTTTAGCTATGGCACATCAACTCTGTTCATCTTTATGAATTTTGTTCTTTTCTGTGAAGAATGGCTTCAGAATCAAAGAAATGGAGCATCAAACAACTCTTTTGTTTCATGGAGAATCTAAGGATAGTACGTAGAACCATTCCTAGAATATGTACACAAATGCCTCTAGCCTTCCTTAAGTACTATTTAAGTTTGAGGCCAAATATTCAAGGCAAATGTGATGAACAACTATGAAATTGCTGGATTACAATTAGATAGATGGAACTAGTCTCATCAATATAATTTGAATGGTTAAATAGTTAAAACCATGGTTTTTAAAAATGAACCGGTCAGGGGTCCGGTTACCAGTTCAAATGGTCCGACCATTTGACCCAAATGGCCGGCCCGTTCTAATAAGAAGAATAAAAAAATTAAAAAAATTGGAAAACGGTCAAAACCGTTCGAACGGTTTGAATGGTTAATCGGACGGTTCAGCGGTTTGCTGACCAAAATCAAGGGTTTTGGGGGAAAAAGCGGGTTTGGGGGAAAACGGAACCAGTCAGGTGACCGGTTCCTAGTTTTTCCGGTTCGACCGTCCGGTCCGGTCCGATTTTGAAACCATGGTTAAAACCATGTGAAGTCAAATAAATCTCATAAGGATGGGACAAATTTAATAGTTGTTCTACTCAAATTCAAAGAATAGGACAAGATGTGACCGTAATAGAAGTTCTATCAAGTGTTTTTCATTGTTCTAGTACAAAATAAGGCTTTTCCAAGAACCATTGCTTGTTCTATCCAAAGATCAAAGTATTGATATCAAGTATTTTATTAGACAACACAGATACAAATATGCTTTGTAGATGCATGGATGCCAATAAAAATATGGAAATGCTTAAATATAATAGGGAAATTCATACAAATTCCATAAAGACATTAATAACACTAAATTTAAGGTCAGAAGGGGAGGGGACAACAGCGAAGTATCTTCTTTAGACACTAAGTACGCGAAGGTGGAGAAAGAGCTTCGCGAGGAATATGAGTGTGAAGATATGACCGCGATGGCAGTGGATGTGGAGGACCCTTTGGAGATACAGGGAATAAAGAAACGAGAACGATATCACTTGTCCAAGTCCTTGGAAATGTGAAACCACTATCTTGGTTGGAATTGACTTGGTTGATTAGTTTGTCTTAATCAAATAACTGAAAATTTTGGTGTTTGTTCATATTATTTTACTTATTTATTGCTTATATATAAGAAGAAATAATATAAAATTATATATGAGTTCTAAATCAATTCGTCCTACCCTTGAATGTGGAGAAGATAGGGCCAAAAGAGGGTTTTGCATTTTCATGTGAGGAAAGCTAAAAATCCAACTAGTACAGGTTGAGATGTTTAGGGAGATGAATAGGTCATCGTCAAGCTTCTATCCATCGGCGCCTCTCAGGCTTGGTGACACCGCCATTAATGTTTGCAGGGCTTCTGAGGTACATCACGTCTTTCTTTCACATGTTTACAGGTCATGGAATAAACCAGCTCATAATCTAGCTAAGCTTGGTCTGTCTCTTGGAATTTCTGAATCATGGTCGGGGTCACCAGATTTTATTGTCTCTGATCTTATTGCCGATTGTTGTCAGACCTGATTTTGTGAATGAATGAACCCACAAAAGCTGAACTTTGGATATAAATTTATGATTTACCAATGGAGTATCTTTCCACATATATCTTCCCAGAGAAATTGGTCAACCCTACATCTCAAAGACAAAAAGTAGAAAACTGGAGCAAATACTTAGAGTGAAAGTCAACGTTGGTGCTACAAAACCACTCAACGGTGCAGTAGAGCAAACTGCAGAGATGGATGTGAAATATGAACGACAGTCTCACCTTTTACATTTTATATGGTTTGTCGGAATGGGAATACGAGGGACATATACATTTTGAGAATATCCAAGCAATAGAGGACTCATCACCTAGAAGGCTAAAACCAAGCAAGGACTCCAAAATCTATTCAAAGATCACCATCAAGACTGTTCAGTCCAAAGCTAACCTGAGCAAATCGCCTTTAATTAAAACTCAAGTCACTCTTGTATCATAAAAATTGCAATTTCTATCATGGTTTTCAAAACTGGACCAGACTGGAAAAACCGGGAACCGGTCAATTGACCGGTTTCGGTTTTCCCCAAAACCGGAATTTCCTTAAAAACCGTTGATTTTGATCAGCAAACTGATGACCTGGGCAGTTAACCGTTCGAACTGTTCGAATGGTTTTGACTTTTTTTAATTTTTTTATTTTTTTGTCAAAATGGGCCAACAATTCGACCCGATAACGGAACCCCTGACTGGTTTGGTCTCCAGGTCGGTTTTAAAAACCATGATTTCTATACTCATGAAAAGATATACCTAAAACATTCCTTAAAAAAAAAAGTATCAACTTTTAAAGCCACTTTTATGCGCTCTCTTGCGCTGTGTTTGGTTTGAAGGAAAATGTAGGGAAAGGAAGGCAAAGGTAGGAAACCTATACATAAATATTTGCCCTACCTTTTCCTTCAAACCAAGCACAGTCTTATTGATACTATATCAGACAAAACACTGAAAAGAAAGAAAATATTTGATTGATCATTAAAATTAATAACTTTAAGCACTAATTAGATTTATACTGCTTTCTAATTTATACATAAATATTTTAATCATTCTACCATTTTTCAATGTTTCTGAAGTGTTGCCCAATAGCTACACTTCACATATCTACTACTATAATGTCTTACTAGATATTATAATTTGAACCTTTGGCTCGGTGGTTGATGTGCATATTTCATTCGCATTAACACAAATGCATGAAGGTGCAAATAAGCTGTGTAGAATTGACTTAATTGTCTGAGAGAAGTAAAATAGGAAGATGATTTCCCCATCTTATATGCAAAAGAATGTAGGTAAGTAGAGGGTTGTTTGTTTAGGAACCAGATAGGAAGCTAAGCGATGTGTTTCACACTTTTATACGAGACTTGAGGTAGTTGGAAGGTGGTGCAAATTTTGTTATCTGTTTTCATATGCAAAATTTGCACTGCCAATGAGTGCAAATGCAGAAAATAAAATACATTTGACATCAGATAAGAGTATATAATAGTTACAAAAATAAGGATACAAAACTGAGCCAAGCACAAAACTTGCATCACAAATAAACAGAGCCTTGGGTTTGTGCCTTGACAAACAGGAGAAGAGTGGAGAATTGCACATTGCAAGGATTTTAGGATGAGTCTGTCCACGTAACAAAATATAAGATACTTGGATACCCACTCAAAAAATAGAGATGGTGCTGAGAAGTTCCACTTAGTAGCTCCTAAGCACTTAATTGATTTTCAGCGTTCTCCTTTTTTCAACTAAGCAATCACCAAATTAATCAGCTATAAAAATTTGTAATTTCATTCTGTGGACTTGCAAATTAGTTCTAAGTAAACTTGTATCCCATTTCGTCCTTGATAGTTGAAACTGAAAACCAACGATGCAACTAGGAATAAAATTCAACCACCTATTTGATATCCGGTTTAAAGCTAGTTCTAAATTACATGGCAATGGTATAAAGATTGATATGGTAAGAATTGAGTCAAAGATGGGATGGTCTCAGCCTTTAATCAGTTGCCATTTGGAAAATAAAACCGGTTCCGCCAAAAAAACCACAAATATACAGATAAAGATACAATAATAATCACTAAATTCACTGCTTTTAACTGCAAAATAGCAAGGAAAAAAGGAACAGAAGATTTATGATGACAATGTTCACATCACAGTCATTGACATTATCTGCCGTGCGAGTCCTGGATCTTGCTGTAACAGCTCCCTCAGGTTGCTCTCAACCTCTGCCATCTGCTTCTCCAAGTACTCCTTCGAAGTCTGCCAAAGCCAATTAAGGTACCAACAATTTCATAAGAGAAAACTAAGGTCCTTCGTGATACTGCAGCCTATGGGGAGCCACAGGTAAAATGGAGTGGAACTCACCCAATTTAAGTGCAACATAGGAGAGATAGCAAGACATTATCAACAAAAATAAAGTACTATAGAACCATTCTACTACAGAAATGAATATGATAAATAATGAAAGAAGAAAACTGGTCTCCCGATGTTCAGTTGATATAATTTCAAAGGAACTTCAAAAAGTTACCAAGATCAAGTGCAGACGCTTGAACAGGTAGTTAAAAAGAATTGAACTTGATGTCCATTAAATATGAACAGTGTTTTAAAAGAGCAAAAGCAGAACATAACAGTAAAACATACAAGTGAAGATACAAAAATAATATCAAACATAGCATATAATACATATTCAAGCACTCTACAATTCAAGAATGTGAAACTTTCAATCTCTTTATTTCTTTAACAATCAAACTACTTTAAATAGCTAATGTAAAGTTACTTGCATTCGTAATTCTACAAGCTGCCTTTGTACCAAACCCCTAAGGCAAGCCAAAACGAATCCATTTTAGGGTCCTAAATTAACATAGATAAAAACAGTTTTATAATTTTAAAAGTTCCGTATCTTTTGAAAAATGTCTTGTATTTTGAAGAAAGAATGAATTTAATAGCATGTATATCACTTGGGTCAACTAGGTCTGTCAATGAAACTCCAAAAGCCCAATACCCGATTCGATACTGAATCCAACTATGCTAGACTTGACAGAACTGATGTGGATTTAATCCCATCCAATCTGGTTAAAAATTACTATTTTATGTATATATGTAGTGTGTGTGTGTGTATATATATGTATATTTATATACAAATAACTGATAAATTTTATATGTTATATTTGTATACATATGTACAAGTAAAAAGTAGTTAGTCTTTTAAAACTTCTTTTAATTTTCTATTGTCATTTTAATCACAATAAGTTGGTATTAAATCCAAATACGATCCAAGATCCAATATGTCAGACTTGGGTCAGATTCGGATCCAAGGGCTTAATAATCAGATTGGATGCAGATAGGGTTTTTTTTAATCTTTTTTGTGGAGATGTTGGGCATGTCAAAGGGTACTCAGATTGGAATGAGAATGTCTTGTTGAATCCTTCACATTTCCCACCTTGCCTCTTGTTATGGGAATGATAGAGATCATATTTTACATTACAGTAAAGTCTTTGCATTTTGATTGAGCCATCAACGAAAAAAAAAGCAAAGAAAAGACAAACCTGCAATGAGGCAATGGCAGTCTCACTATCCTTGAGTTTCTGCTCTTGCTCTTTAACTAAAACTGATTTGGGCTCTAGCACAAATCTGGTCACAAATCAAAAACAAAAGAAAAGGTGATAAACCGAATAATTTTGGTCTCATCAAGTGAAAGGATTTGATATTTCTGGAGAAGAAAAAGGGATTGCAGATGACTCACGTTCTCCCTGCAGAACAAAAGATATGTTAGATGTGGGAGAGATGGCAAAGATCAATAAAGAAAAAAATGTGTAGTATAATCAATCATGCAATGTAGCACAGTAGCACAAGCAGAACCAGTTTCTCCCTTCATTATGAAACAAGTCATACTACTCCTAAAAGAACTAAGAGTTTCTCAACTTTTTAAACAAAATTCCCTTTCAAAATAATAAAATAGAAGCACAGACTATGAGGAGCTGTGCCTCTTACCAAAGAGATGCTGTAACTACAATAAAACCTCTTCCATATGGGAAGTGGGAACATCCACCCCTCTCCCCAGTACATTTTTCTTCAATGAATTTTCTAAGTGTCATGGAATTTAGATAGTGAAAGCTAAGAGAAGAATTGTTACAAATAAAAAACAAAAAAATAATAAAAGAAAATGGAATTTAAATGAAGATAATAACGGTCAATGTTTTAAAATGCGGAGGCGTGACACAAGGCGTTCCACTACCTAGAGGTGTGAGGCATAGTTCAGAACGCAAGAGGCGTAAGCCTCCCAAACACAATGAGGCATTAGGCTCCTTAAGAGGAGGCGGGGTTAGGAGGAAGGAAGGGGAGGAGGATGAAGAGGAAGGGGGAATCTCATTTTTTCTTTATTTTTAATAAAAATCTTTTATATTAAGAAGAATAAAGATGCATAACATTAATTGAAG